ATTTTTGTCTACGATTTGGTGGCCCCGCGGGGGGGGGGGGGGGAGAAAGAGAGAGGGAGAGAGAGAGAGGGAAAGTGAGAAATCACCCCCCTGTGGGCATGGCCACGCTGCAATCCCTTCTCTTCCATTCTCCTCCTAGGATTTTGGGCATGCATGCACATGTGCCTGGCATGATTTTTCAAGCCACTGGGTCTGGGACTCGAACTGCAGTCAGCCATGTGGGAGTCCAGCATCATAACCACTTCACCACCTGCTGGCCCCACCAGTGGTGGGTTTTTAAACATAGTTGCTCTGTTGATGGCTTCATAGCTCCAGGTCTGCCTACGTGTGGTGAAGAGGACAGTTCCCCCAGTGGGTCAGTCCTACAAGGTCCTGAGAGGCGTTCTAGAGACATGGTCTAGAGTTTTCACAACGGCCCTCTGTAGTGGGTTGAATGGTGGCCTCCCAAAAGCTACGTGCACGTCCTAACTCCTGGAACTGTGTATGTGGCTCTATCTGGCAAAAGAAAATTTACAATGTTATTACATTAAAGATCTTGAGATGAAAGCATTTGGGATTACCCAGGTGGGCCCTAAATTCTTTTTCCTTTTCTTTTTGTTTGGAGAGGTTTTTGCTATAGGGCGCATGCACTCTCCAGAAAGACAGAAAGAGATAGAAAGTGAGACATCACCCCCCAGGGGGAATGACCACGCCACAATCCCTTCTCCTCCATTCTCTTCTCCAGATTTTGGGCACGCACGCACACGCACACGCTCCTGGTGTGAGTTTAAGCCACCAGGTCCGGGACTCGAACCGCAGTCAACTACACATGAATCCAGCAACATAGCCATTGCACCAACTGCTGGTTCCAGGCCCTACATTTACAAAGTCCAGAAAAAGAGACACCAAATAACGCCCTTCAAAGGGCCAGGATGTTGCAATCCACCCCTAACCTCAGCCAGCCCCGGTTCATGAGCATCCATCATGCCTGGTGTGCTCAGAGGGTGTCCAGACGCAATCAGGAATCTTCCCCTGTGGATCAGCCTCATGGAGCATCGTGCTTTACCACTGCGCCACCATCTGGCCCCCTCCAGAGTTTATTTTTGTAGGAAATCACTCTGCAGCCAGCGCCTCAACTCCCCTGTGCCCAGGAGCCACATTGTCCCCTCAGTCCAGGACCACAAAGCCAGGCAGGGCCTCTGCTGCGCTCATTTGTTTTCCCTTTAACCCACGGAGTCCAATAAAGAGCTAGAAAGCGCCCGAACATGATGGACAGTCTTTATTCTGATGCCAGTGAGATCGCTTCCTCGAGAGCAGCTTGTCTCGGTCTGTCTCCTTCATCCACATCAGGGCTCCCCTCTGCGTAGAGACAGTAGCGTTTGCGTGTGCGCGAGGGCCCGTGACCTTGTGTGGACGCCGGTGTCTCGGAGCCCGTTTGTCTTTCTGTGCGTGCGTTTCCGTGAGCGGGGCTTTGCATCTGGTGTCCGGGTGTGTGTGTATCTGTGTGTGTGGAGAGGGGGTGGCGGGAGAGAAGGGAAGTGGCCATGGTTACTGTTAATACCATAAACTTGAGCTATTGTTTTCATAAACAGGAGGCTGGAGATTGCTTCTTACTGTTCTTACCACTGTGCTGGTGAAATGATGTTACCACGAAGAATCCTTCTTCCATTCTGTGAGCGTGACCGCATAAACCAGGAGGGGAGAATTTCATTCCACCGAAACTCCGGCGGCATCTCCCTGGTCTGCAGAGTTCCTAGGCCAGAGTGTTAAAGCAGCTCCTGGCCTTCATGTTGGGGATCAGAAGGAAAATCATGGAGGGGCTGGCAGGTGGCATGGTGGTTAAGGGCTCTGAATTCTCACATGGCCAACAGCGGTTCGAGTCCCGGACCTGGCAGTTTGTTTTCTCACTTTCCCTCTCTTTCTCTCTCTCTCCCTTTGTCCCTTTCTGGCCAAAGTAAAATAAATAAATAAATAAATAAATAAATAAATAAATAAATAAATAAAATAATTATTTAAAAAAATATGAAAA